TTAGTGTATGTTTAAAATATCCATCATAAAACTTAAACAACAATTTTAAAAAACCTTGGTGAGCAGATCTGTTTCACAATCCCCAGAGTCTTTATTGCTAGGTTCCCTGGCTTGATTAGGCCCAGAGGGGGGGACAGTGACTCTAATTACGGTTTGCCCCCCCAAATGACTTACCCTTTTGAGCAGCTGGTGAAAGGATCTCAGGACCTTATTTGAATCCTGATTCAAATAAACCCTATTGTAAACATTTTTGAGGCAGTTAGAGTGCTGAAGGAGGAATGCAGGAGGCCCAGAGTGGTAAAGAACTATACATTCATTGTTACATCTATGAGCAGAAGGGCTGAGACCAAAATGGCATCAGCGGGGCAGAGTAGGCGGAGTGGAATATTTATGCCTCTTTGTCAAGGTCAGTCCGAGTAAGGGGTGGGACCAAGTGCAGGTGGGGGCCGGCCGGGTGTAGGTGTCCATTGGAAACTGGATGAGGTGGGTGACTGGAAACTGAAGTCAGTTATTCAGGAAACCAATCGTGAGAATAACAGGAAAATCGCAGGGAGGAGCAAGAGCCCCAGGCAGGGGCTCATAAGAAAGTGCGCCACAGAGACCAGAGAAATGGGAATATAGGCTGGGTATTGGAGGATATACCAAAAAATAAGAACTTTTTCCAAGGGGAATAATAACATTGCAGTCATGTAATAAAAACCCCAAACTGTCCGGTTTTTTGAGATGCACATTGAAGTGTGGAAAGGTGAAAGGTGTGATGTCTGGGATCTGCTTTTAAACGCTTCACAAAGGAAAAAAGTGGGGGCAAGAGTGGAGAGCCACACAAGAGTGGCAAATCCTGGTAACTGTTCCATCTGGGTGATGTGAATGAAAGGCCATGCACCATTTGCTCCACTCCTGTGGTTGTTTGGAATACTTCCCAATATATATGCGGAAACTGAGTATAATGGCAGCTTGAAAGCTTGGCATCTGTCCTCTTGTAGCTCTGCCTTACCAGGTTTCTCTCTCTCTCTCTCTCTCTCTCTCTCTCTCTCTCTCTCTCTCTCTCCCCCATGAAGCTCTGCCTCTAAGTAATTTGTCTGAGGCAGCCAAGAAATGAATCCATTTAAAAGAAAAGGGGGGAGGGGGACAGTGAGCTATGTTTACAGAGTCACTTCCTTTCTGAAATTTAATATCCTTGGGAGACTGCAGAACAGGAAAAAACAAACTCTTGGGGCCTGGGATATGCAAACCCCAGGGTCACTTGCCTCTGGAATCAAGGTTCACAAAGGCAAGTTTCAGTTTTACCCCAGGTTTAGAGACAATTAGACTATTTCTCCAATCTTTTGATTATCTGACCCAAAAAGAACAAATGAAGAGCATGCAATGGGGTCTCTGGTGGCTGAAATTCACCAGCCAAGCGTAAGGTAGGCAAATCTGCGCTGGGAGGAAGCCCACACCGCTAGGCCTCATCTCTGCCCCTCCCCTGCCAGGGGCCTCACTGACTTTAGGCTCCAGAGGCCCAACGTTGAGAATCAAAGGAGACTGAAGAGGCCCTGAGAAAGGACCTGAATGCCAGGGCTGAGTCCTTGGGAGACAGCCACTCCTCCGTGTTTGTGTTAACCTGTCTCATTCTTGTCCCAACACACCATTTCCAGTCCTAAGTGCTCCCCTGCTTTCCCCAGCACAAGGCCTCACCTGACACCAAGCACTAGGGACTCAGCTGCCACTATGAGGTTCGTATCCTACTCTGTTCTCTCCTATACTCCTTCCCGTGTGATTAAAAAATAAAAATAGCCCCATCCGGTTTGGCTCAGTGGATAGAGTGTCGGCCTATAGACTGAAGGGTCCTGGGTTCGATTCTGGTCAAGGGCACATGCCTGGGTTGTGGGCTCAATCCCCAGTGGTGGGTGTGCAGGAGGCAGCCGATCGATGATTCTCATCATTAATGTTTCTATCTCTCCCTCCCCCTCTCCCTTCCTCTCTGAAATCAATAAAGATATTTTTAAAATAATAAAATAAAAATAGGGCATTTTAACCTAAAGTATAAACTTATAAATCATTGAGCTTAATGTTATGGGTTGATTTATTCCCCCTCCCCCCCCCCAAAGATGTTGGAGTCCTAAGCCCCAGTTCTTATGCAAGTGTATTTGGAAATAGGGCCTTTGCAGATGTCATTAAGTTAAGATGGGGTCATTCTGGAGTAGATGGGCCTTAATCCAGTGATTGGCGTCTTTAAGAGAAGATGGAGCCCTAGCCGGTTTTGGCTCAGTGGATAGAGTGTCAGCCTGTGGACCAAAGGGTGCCAGGTTCGATTCCAGCCAAGGGCACATATGTTGGTTGCAGGCTCCTCCCCGGCCCAGGCCCTGGTCGGGGTTGGTGCAAGAGGCAATCAATCGATGCATTTCTCTCCCATCAATATTTCTGTCTTTCCTTCTCTCTTCCACTCTCTCTAATTAATGGAAAAATATCCTTGGGTGAGGATTAAAAAAAAGAGAGAGAGAAGATGGGAATTTGGACACTTAGAGACACACAAGCAGAGATTGGAGTGGTGAGTGCCAAGAATTGCCAGTAGCCACCAGAAGCTGGGGGAGCCAAGGAACTAGAGCCTTCAGAGTATGGCCTTGCTGACACCTTGATTTCATGCTGTAGGGTCCAGGACTGTGAGAATAAATTTGCTGTTTAGAAGCCACCGTTTGTGAAAATTTATTGTGGCAGCCCTAGGAAACTAATACAAACTGCTCATTCAACCCTCACCACCACCCTAGGGTTAGGAAATGTTACTACCTCCATTTTCTACACAATTTTAAGTGTGTCTAGTAAGTGGAGAGCCAGGCTTTCAACCTGGATCACAGGTCATGTTCTTAACCAGGAGACCAAACTTCCCCTTTCTGGTGCTTAAGTAACAGCCCTTTCCTAATATCATGTGCTGAGGAAAATGTGGGGAAATTGGAAATCTCATACGCTGTTGCTGGTGGTGTAAAATGGTGCCGCCACTTTGGAGAACAATCTGGTAGTTTCTCCACTGGTTATAGTTAACACATGATCCAGCAAATTACACTCCTAGACCTAGAGGGGTGGGCAAAAGTAGGTCTACAGTTGTGAGTACAGGAAAGTTTATTCTTATATTATTACTAGAGGCCCGGGGCACAAACATTTGTGCACTTGTGGGTGGGGGGGGTTCCCTCAGCCGGGCCTGTGCCCTCTTGCAATCTGGGACTCCTCAGGGGATGTCCATTTGCTGGCTTAGGCCCACTCCCCAGGAGACTATTTCTCCAATCTTTTGATTATTTGACCCAAAAAGAACAAATGAAGAGCATGGAATGGGGTCTCTTGGTGGCTGAAATTCACCAGCCAAGCATAAGGTAGGCAAATCTGCGCTGGGATGAAGCCCACGCTAGGCCTCATCTCTGTCCCTCCCCTCCTAGGGGCCTCACTGACTTTAGGCTCCAGAGGCCTAACATGACATTCCCAGGAGCCCTCAGGGGATGTCCACTTGCCAGGGGGGAGCAGGCCTAAGCTGCAGTTGGACATCCTTAGTGCTGCTGAGGAGGCAGGAGAGCCTCCCGCCACCACCGCTGTGCTGGCAGATGTCAGCCTGGCTTGTGGCTGAGCAGAGCTCCCCCTGTGAGAGTGCACTGACCACCAGGGGGCAGCTCCTGCATTAAGCATCTGCTCCCTGGTGGTCAGTGTGTGTCATAGTGACCAGTCATTCCCAGTTCTGCTGATAGGGTCAATTTGCATATTACCCTTTTATTATACAGGATTGATTACTAGAGGCCCGATGCACAAAGATTTTTTTTTAATATATTTTATTGATTTTTTACAGAGAAGGGAGAGGGATAGAGTTAGAAACATTGATGACAGAGAAACATCGATCAGCTGCCTCCTGCACTGCCCCCAGTGGGGATGTGCCTGCAACCAAGGTACATGCCCCTGACCGGAATCGAACCTGGGACCCTTCAGTCCGCAGGCCAACGCTCTATCCACTGAGCCAAACCGGTTCGGCCACAAAGATTTGTGTAAGAATAGGCCTTCCTTCCCCTGGCTGCTGGCACCGCCTTCGCTCTGGCCCAGAGCCACCTTTCTGCCTTCCCACACTGCCCAGAGGCCCGGAGTGGCTGTGCGCGTGCATGCTTCCCTACAGGCCCACCATCTTTGTCAGTTTAATTTGCATACTCACTTATGATTGGCTGTGGGCATTGTGAAGGGCTGGTCAATTTACATATTTATCTATTATCAGTATAGATTATATTACTAGTAGCCCTGGGCATGAATCCATGTGCCAGTAGCTCGCTGCCACCCTCCAGGAGCTCCCCCCACCAGTCCCCCCTCACAGCTTGCTGCCCTGCCCCCTCCTGTAGCTCTCCACCACCTGCTTTTAGCTCACTGCCCCACCCTCCTGCTGATCCATGATCCAGTCATTACGTGGTCGGTTGTTATGCTTCACAGCGTAACGACCATTTGCATATTACATCTTTATTATACAGGATTTGCATTATGCAAATCTATTTTTGGCCATCCCTGTATATGCAAGGGAAACAAAAATATACATCCATACTAACATGTGTACATGAATGTTCATAGTGGCATCATTCATAAGAACTCCAAAGTGGAAACAAAATATTAGTTCACTGATGGATAAATAACGTAGGGTCTAGGCATACAATACAATAGTATTCTGACATTAAAAAAGGATAAAGTGTTGGATATGCCACATCATAGATGAACCTTGAACAAATTATGCAAAGTGAAAGAAGCCAGACACACAAGAGCCTACATATTGTATGGCTCCATTGACATGAGATATAGAGAAAAGGCAAATTTAAGACAAAAAGCAGACCAGTGGCTGCCTGGGGTCGGGGTCCGGAACGAGGGTTAACTTTGAGAGATCTTAGGGAGGGATAAATGTGTTCTAAAATTGATTGATGGTGATGAATGCAATAAAGTTACTAAAAATCACTGAATTGTGTATTTGTAATGGGCAAACTGATGACAAGTAACGTAACGCTGTTTACAATTTAGGTTCTAAAATTTAGGACCTCCCTAGGTCTTAAAACAGAGTGATGACACTACTTAGGATTTCCAAGCAGTTTTCAATGATAAAGTAGTTCAATTTCTTTATCTGGACTTCAGCTGCAGAAAATGCCAGAACTCAGAGATGAAACAGAGCTGGGACAAAATAAAAAACCTTTATTTGGACACTGAGAGGCTAGGAAGCCACTGTCCCCCCTTCTGCAGAACCTCTGCCAGGTTAATGAACTAATTAAGTCAATATGACACCTTTTCTTCCTCATCCCAACATCATCTCCGGCCTGGTGACAGGGACTCCTCTTTCTGCAGAACCACGCCCTGGGAGTTCCCCAGTCACGGCAGGTGGCCACAGCTTCTCTGGCTTTGCAATTCCTTGCAAAGAACAGACCCAAAGAGGCACCATGGTATAGGCGGGTGGCTGAAGCGGAGACCCGACAGAGCTCTCTCCCTGGAAATGCTTTCAGGTTTGCAGGGTGTGCAAGCCCTTCTGCAAACTCCCCCATGTGCTGTCTGTCTCAGTGGCGCCTCTTCCGGGAGATTCTGAAAGCTCGAGTCTGGTCCACCTATTCGCTACGTGAACTGGGTAACAAGGTGACACATCTGCCTGGCTTTCCCCACAGGACTTCACCTCAGTCCAGGTTAGAGATGAAGCAGCTCTTGGCAGAAACCAGGCAGGGCAACAGATCCCATCTTTTCCCAGTGCTCCTGGGTCAGGACTTCAGGCCCATCTTGGCCATCATCTCTTCATAGACTGTCCATGCCATGGCTGCCATCAGAGTCCTGCGGAGGGCCCGGGGGACACCGCCTTGGAAGAAGCCACGCAGCCCATAGTCCTAGGAGGGAAATGAGTGTCAAAACTCTGTTAGGTAGCAATATAATTATGTACCCGCCACAAGAGTGAGGTCTCTCTGTACCCCATTTTTGAGTCTGAAGACTTTTATAAATAATGTCCAAACTATGACTAGTGAGCTCAAGAAGACAATGAACTTTAAAAAAAATTTTTTTCACCCTGAAAAGAGGCTATATTTCCAGAGGATGGTCAGCCACACTGCAGTAGGGGCAGAATTTGGAGGTCCCATGCACTTGGACTCCAAAAACCCAGGCTTCAACATTTGCTGTAGAAATAGTCTCACTTTGTGCTAAGTCCCAGGGAGGCCATTCTTACCAATGAGAGGGCCAAGAACTGGATTTGGCAACCTTTTGTAGGACAAGCACTTTGGCGTCCTTAAATTCATGACATGTCTAGTATTGTCCCTTACTCCAAAGGAGCTTCTGTACATTTTAGTATTGTATTTCTTTCATTGGGCAAGGGTTTGAGTTCTCTAAGCTGAAAATTTCCTCCTGAAATTAATATCCATGCAATTACCATAAAGTAACATTGTAATAAAAAAAAATTTTTTTTTTTTTGCTTACTTGCTCAACTTTCTTTCTCGGTTTACTCCCTCCCCGGGGGATTTATTCCTTAGCTGTACAGGTGTAGAGCTTGTGCAGTGCACAGAAGCACTAGGTCCCAGTGGCAGCTAAAATCCAGACCAAGGTCTGCTCGCCCAGCCCTGGGCCCTGGCTACAGGCGAAAGGAACAGGTGCCTTTTTGGCAATTTCTCTGCCTAGAGGGAGCTTTATGGGGGGGGGGAGGGGAGGGGAGGTAACTCAATGTATATTCTTGATGGCTCTATAGAAGAATTAAAGACAAAACACCTGTCATCCCCCATAATCTGAATTGATTTTTTCATTCCTATTGTTATCATTCCTGCCATTTTCTCATATACTGAAGAATATATTTCAGGTAGGGGCTTGGGGGTGGGGGGAGGAGCAGGGAAAATGGGAGATATCTGTAATACTATCAACAATAAGAATATATATATATATTTTCAGACTATGTGACTTTAGGTACAGAGAAGAAGGAAGCAGTGTGAAGATAAGATCAGATTCAGAAATATCTGCTTTTATCTAGGGTGGAAGCTGATGCATATGCTCAGGTTTCCTCTGCTGCATAGAGAAACTGACAAGTACAGAAAAATCTAAAGATACAGGTGATAAATTTACCGCAAACAAGAGTATCTGGTGGGCGATAACAGTACATGTTTCCCAAGGGCCAACTCAGTGGCTTTAGACAGTCCTTCAAAGCATTTATGTCTACTGTGCTTGTTAGCTTCAGTAACACCATTTGTACAAGAGCAAATGCGAGAAACAAAATGTGCTTGTGGTTTTTTTTCTGACTATATTTCCTCCTGGGTCCTTGACAAGCCCCCCCCCCCGGGATCGCCTGATTCAATAGGTCTGGGGTAGAACCCTACAATCTACATGCTTAACAAATATCACAGGTTGTCCTAATGTAGGGCCCCTGGAAAAACAAACAAACAAACAAACAAACAAACAAACAAACAAACAAACCAACCACTGACCATAGGTTTTCAGCAGTGGCTCTCAATCTTGGCAACACATTGGAACCACTCGGAAACTTAAAATTCTGATACCTGGGTTTCACCCCCCAGAAATTCTGCTGTAATCAGCCCAGGTTGTGGGGATTTTTAAAAGCTCCCCGGGTGATTCTACTGGGTAAAGGATAAGGGCTACTGCTACTCTAGAGAGAGTGCCTTACGCACAATAAGAACAAATATTGATTGTACAGCCTTACTTTGAAGATGATTGTCACTGCCTGGCCAATCCACCGGAATTTCACTGGGGAGAGCTGCATATGAGTTTTGATAACATCTGCAGGCTGAGTCACCAGTGAGGCCAGAACACCAGCAAATATCCCACAGCTGAAATTTACAACGGGAATAAGGGCTGCATCCAACTGGTCTGAAATAGGACAGAGGGAACACTCAGTTGTAAATAAGTCTCATTCATCAGGTAAGTATCAATGCCCAGTTGCCCACTAATTTTTCCCCATAGCCAGAAGCGCCTGGATTCAAACAAAGTTAAGAATTAAAAAATTTAAAGGTATAACGAATAAGTGTTGATGGAGTGAAAATTCACCTTTTTACAATCATCACAATTGATTCAACAAGAACCAATGACTAATGCTCAAACATAGAGATGAAGGGAACAGGAAGTTTTATATGGATTTATGTAGTTTCAAAGTATCTCCCCACAGAGATACAAATTACAAAATAATAATAATAATAATAATAGAATTTTCAATGGAGATGCTACCTTATCCACCTGATAAAAAGTTAACATTACCCACAATGTGTCAGACTAATGTCATGAGCTTCCCGATATTAAGGTACTTGGGACACAATATCACTTACGCGGTCCTCTTGCAATCTTAGAATCAGGCAAATTTAGGAAGTATTCTTAAGGGCCTCTGGAGACGTGCTCTGTTCTGCCCCATTCCCCACCAAGAATTACAGTACATCCCTCTCCAAAGGCTGCACGTGGAAGAGCAGAGACCACGTCTGTGCTGCCCACTGCACCCCAGCGCCTGGCCCTGGCTCAGTTCTTAAAACCCTTCTGAGGATCTGGAGCCGCTAAGAGCAATGAACAGTTTCACAGTCGCAGAGAAAGTGGTGAGAATGCGTTTCGGGAGAGCTTTTCCCCACCACACCTTCCTTTACCCGTACCATGGGGCACGATGGCTTTGGTCTGGTTGTAAAACATTAGGTAGATTCCAGAAAAGGGGGCATCACGAAGGAGTGTCGCCGTCAGGCCACTAAAGAGGCCCCGGTGGCCCTCGCTGCGGTAGATGCTCCGCAGGGCTGCGTAGATGCTCTCATAGCCGTACCTCCCACTCTGCAAAGGAAGCACAGAACAGGGGCTCGCACAGTGGCCCTGGGTGCGAGCACTGAAGCAAGCCAACTGCAGGGTGGGTGGCCTTACCAGGGCACTGGGGCCTTGGCTCACACATGGCTTGGCCTGAATACTCAAATGGGTTCTCTGGGAGGTGACATCAGTAGTCACTGGACTCAAGGAGCTTCGGGCCTCTGTTTACCCACCCCGAGGGCCTAAAGCGGTCAAACTCACCTCGTAACGCGTCTTGATCACAGTGATAGGCGACATGCAGACCCCTGCGACCGAGCGAGAGCCCACCCCCAGCATGATGGACTCCATGGCAGTGGGGGGATGGCCTCGCAGGAAGTATTGCTTCAGAGAGTAGAGAGTCCCGAAGTAGATTCCAACACCAGGGACACACCTCACAATGGACTGCAGGGAAGGGGGTGGGAGTGGTAAGAGTTGGAGGAGGAAAGAAATCAAAGACAGGCACTAGCAGATACTGTTTTAGCTGGGTTTCCCCAAAGGACCCAGGATTTGCATGCAAGCAGTTGGTTTAAGCCTTAAACTTTAAGGTGTGGAGGGAACACCAACAGGAGAGAGGGAAGACGGTCAACAGAGGGAGTGTTATCTAATCAGTGACTCCCATGGGCAACGGAATCCCTTTGGGGAACTCTGGGCATAGGTGGAGGACATGCACAGAGTTACCCTCCACCCGAGGAGGGGAGTGAGGTAGAAGCTGCACTAGCTTGTTAGAGTACAGGCGCACTAGACCTTGTTAGGGTACAGGCGCACTAGTCCTTGTTAGGGTACAGGCGCACTAGACCTTGTTAGAGTACAGGCGCACTAGTCCTTGTTAGGGTACAGGCGCACTAGACCTTGTTAGGGTACAGGCGCACTAGACCTTGTTAGGGTACAGGCGCACTAGACCTTGTTAGGGTACAGGCGCTCTAGACCTTGTTAGTGTACAGGTGCACTAGTCCTTGTTAATGTATAGGCGCACTAGACCTTGTTAGCGTATAGGCGCACTAGTCCTTGTTAGGGTACAGGCGCTCTAGACCTTGTTAGGGTACAGGCGCACTAGACCTTGTTAGGGTACAGGCGCTCTAGACCTTGTTAGGGCACAGGCGCACTAGACCTTGTTAGGGGACAGGCGCTCTAGACCTTGTTAGGGCACAGGCGCACTAGACCTTGTTAGGGGACAGGCGCTCTAGACCTTGTTAGGGCACAGGCGCACTAGACCTTGTTAGGGGACAGGCGCTCTAGACCTGGTTAGTGTACAGGTGCACTAGACCTTGTTACAGTACAGGTGCATGTCTCCCAGCCCTCACACAGAAAGGGAGCAACAGCGAGACAGGCAGGAAGACCACACAGGTCCTCCCACCACTCCCACCTCTCACGTTTGCTTAAAGGAGGATACATGGGGTAGATGAGAAATGGTTATGAAGGAGAGGGTGCAAGAGAAGGTCCAAAAGGCAGCTTACAGGGGACATCCCCTTCCACAGGCCCAGAAGACTCTCGGTGCGGACCACCTGCAGGAGCAGACTGAGCATCCCGACGCGCCTGGATCTGGGGGCAGACAACGGAGGGAAAGTCACAGACCACATCCGCACGGGGAACTCCCTGCTCCAAGGCTCCTCTGTGTGGACCCTTCAGGGCACTTAGAATCTACAGTGCGTCTTGGAATCTCAGAGTTCTTAAGTGTCATGATTTGACACCTACATGTTTATCTGCCCAGTCACCCTACAAACAATGGAATCACCTGATTTATCCTTCCAGTTCATGCATATTTAGTACACTGCCCACGGTGCTGAGCCCAATGCGGGGAAGCGAGACACTCCATACTGGCAGCACAGGGACACAACAGGCTAGCACAGTAACAGGCAAATGTCACCCAGGCAGATCCAGGAAGCTGCTCAGGGCAGGACCCCGTTCAATCAACATTCAATTACATCAATTACACTAATTAATGTAAAAATAGATTCACAGGGAAGAATATACACAAAACCCATCAAGGTGGGCCTGGCCTGCTTCCAACAGCCAGCAGCCAACAGAATGGAGGTGGACTTCACCCGGTACAGGTGCTCCTGGGCTGGAGAGAGGTTCTGAGACCAGTTCCTCAGGGAAATGGGGGGCAGCAGGCCTTACCCATGGGCCGAGGGCTGGAGAGTCTGCAGGCGCGTTTTGAGGAGATCCAGGGGCTGGAAAAGGAGGGTAGAGCAGGTGCCACTGATGGAGCCGCACAGGAAAGCCTTGATCACCGGGTGCAACTTCGGGGCAAGAGAATGCTGTCAGCACCTGGTGGCGCCCTCTACTGGTTTCATGCTCGGGAGAAGGGAAAAGCGCAGTCCGTAGGGAACGGGGCTGCTAGGTTGTTGAGAGCATAGTACAGGGCAGGGGCGCTCTCTGGTCTCCATATTGATACCTTGGCTCCTACCGGGCGACATGTCTATTTCCTCTGTGGCCCCACAATAAAAATGACTGCCTATCTCCTTATCTTCACAAAAGCAAAACCGACTGAACACAGTGTTTGGACTCTGAACGGCTGGTTTCCAGGCTACCTGGCCGCAGGGCCTGCAGATGCTTATAGGAACAAGACAAAGGAAATGAAACCTTAAGCTTGGCCACAGTAAGACCATAGGTGCCACTTCCTGTGAAACCTATGGGTTTCCTTCATTTAAAACTTTCCCCTTTCCTGACACCACCCATCTCTCTGAGACCTACGCAGCTGGCTGAGGGTGCGGTAGCCCAGTTGCCTGTGCTGGTTTTGCTGGCTCTCCTCTAAGCCAGGACTGTCACACACCGATGAATCTAGAGGCACCACCCGGAAGGGCAGCAACCTATCAAAAACGAAATGTCCTCCTCCAGGCAAGCTGCAGAGCCCTCACAGCATGCCCCAGGATCCAGGCTCGGTCACATGGGGCTGTGAAAAGTCACTTGCACAAATCCAATCAGCCCCTCACCCTCCACCCCCGCCCCGTTTCCCCAGCTGCTGGTGTTAAGATGAGTAGGATGAGCAGGCCTTCCGGTGCTTTGACAAAACCTCAGCTGCGCAGCCAGCCTTCTGGCCACACGTCTGCGATTCATATTGTTGGAGCGATCACTGCATCCCCGGGCTTGCAGCTTGCTGTAAGTGTGCTGTGGCTGAACCAAGAAAGAAGACATATGCAGATTTCTACGGAGATTACGATCCCATGGAAGATTTTGAGGAGATGAGGAAGGCTGACATCTTTCAGAGTGCAAAGTGCCTTTGGAATGTCAAGAATCTCTCTGGGTTGTGTTCCACGGAGGTTTGTCATTGACCTGAGTCCCTGAACCATGGAACATGAATATCTGAGCTAAGGAATAGCTCTTGATAGATAAACAATTAAAAAATACTGTGAAAAATAAAAATCCAGTCAAGAAAGAAAGCCTTCTCCAAAGAATTACTTGGCAAGCTCCATTCAAAACGGTCTTCTCCCCCTTGTTATTTATTTTTTTTAGTATATTTTTATTGATTTCAGAGGGGAAGGGAGAGGGAGCGAATAGAAACATCAATGATAAGAATCACTGATCGACTGTCTCCTGCACGCCCCCTACTGGGGAACGAGCCTGCAACCTGGGCACGTGTCTTTGACTGGAATCGAACCTGGGACCCCTCAGTCTTTAGGCCTATGCTCTATCCACTGAGCCAAACCAGCTAGGGCCCCCTTGTTATTTTTAAATAAATGGCATACATGGTCCTAAAACACTATTAAGATGAATATAAAGTTTCCTTTATGCACATCATGTAACCAAAATGATTATGATCTGTGATATATGCTTTCCAGAGAAGAGAAATCATTCCACATTCCACCAAACGACCAAATCACAAGTTATAAGTGGAATTACTTAAAAGATTGTTGGGGAAAGGATTAGATAAGTTCAGACAGTAAGTAGTGGAGTTTATAATCACCTTCAGCAGCTTGTAAAAGTATCAAAGGATGGTAGAATTGGCAAGACAACCCGGCCAGTGGCTCAGTGGTTGATTCCCAGTCAGGGCACATGCCTGGGTTGTGGGCTTGATCCCCAGTGTGGGGTGTGCAGGAGGCAGCCGATCAATGGTTCTCTCATCACTGATGTTTCTCTCTCTCCCCCTCTTCCTCTCTGAAATCAATAAAAAAATATTTTTTAAAAAAGAATTGGTAAGACAACAGTGAAACGGAGCAAAATGTGTAGTACTATAGGTCTGTGTCACAAAGCCCCTCCCCCAAGGAGTGGGTCCTGCTCCTTCTGCTAACACATATTCATCCCCCAAGTGTTGTGTTTTTCAGCCTCATCCGAGACGTCACCAATGAGCGTTCTTCCCTGCACTCGGCCTCTCCCACCCAGAGGCATCCTCTCCGTTGCCTGGAAACAAGCTCACAAGCCCCCAACTTCCCAGCTCCACGGCCAGCATCTCCTCTCCCTCTTCACCCCCCAGGCTCCACCGTCACCTGCCATCCAGCCAAGGTTTCTCCACTAAGCTGCCCTGTGAGCTTGCCAAGGACCCACTGCACCCAGAACCCCATTCCCGACTTTATCCGTTTCTTACGTGGCTTCTCTGGTGCATCTGAGATGGCTAATGGCCTCCCCTCTCAGTTTGGGATTCTCTCTCTTCTTCCGGCTGCCCTGCTGTGTCTCCTTTCCCTCGGCCTGCCTGCAGATGTTGCTGTTCCTCTTATCTCCTCCAGCTGCAGCCTCTTAGGGCCACCTCACCCTGCTCACACTCACGCCCACGCCCACGCCCACGCCCACACCCATACCCACACCTCCAGCCCAGAACCTCGGTCCAGACACCGATATTCCCACGCCCCCTCCACCTCCCATTGGCACACAGGCATCTCAAACTCAACATGCCAACATGGAAACTCAGCCAACAGTTCTCCACACACTTGCCTCCTCTCCAATCCACAACGACTTATCCCGTGGGAAATTTATAAGACTCCTCAGTCTATCTACTGCTTCATGACCAAGCCCTGCTGATGACCCCTCACCCAGAGTCTGCCCCTACCGATCCATCCTGGTGGCCTCCTGGGCATTCTCCAGCCCTAACTGTGCCAACCCACCCTCCACCATGCGCCCAGAGCAGCACCGGGCAAGGCACCTACACCCACCACCTCAAAAATCTCACAACACTTAAGAGCTAGGTGTTTAAACCCATTTGGCCAATGAAACTAGAGCTCACACAGGTTACAAATGGGTCCTAAGACCCAGCGTTTGAAGCTATGGGCGGGGACTAAAAGTTCAGGCTCTTTTCACCATACTCCCAGCCTGAAGTGGGCACTTGGCTCCACTGTTGACCACTGCTGGCTTCGTCCTGGGATGCTCTCTCCTGGCTTCAGGGATTGCCTCCCACTTCTCTGGCCTCTTTTTTGGGTAGAAACGCTCCCCTTCTTTCCCTGACAACGGTCCACTCCCATGGCTCCATCTCCAGCCCTCTGTCCACACTTGCAACTCCTTCCAGAGCTTCAGACCCACATATCCACGTACTCAGCTGTGCCACAGGCACATTTCCAAACCTGAACTCATCTCCCTCCCTCACCCCCAACCTGCTCCTTCTCCTGGCTGCCCTATCCCAGTGAATGCCATGCCATTTACCGACCCACTGCCCTAGCCAGAAACCAGGGCAGCTCCCCTGACTCGGTCCCTCCGCACCTGCTCATCCTACCTCCAAACACAGTGGTTCTCAACCTTCTGGCCCTTTAAATACAGTTCCTCATGTTGTGACCCAACCATAAAATTATTTTCGTTGCTACTTCATAACTGTCATGTTGCTACTGTTATGAATCGTAATGTAAATATCTGATATGCAGGATGGTCTTAGGCGACCCTTGTGAAAGGGTCGTTTGACTGCCAATGGGGTCGCAACCCACAGGTTGAGAACTGCTATGGACCTAACAGCTCTCAAATTCACCTGCTGTCATCCAGCTCAGGGCCCCAGCATCCTCGGTGACAGCCACCACCTCTTCCCCCACCTCATCTCTTTGATCCCTTTGGCCTGCAGCCACAGTCATCTTTTAAAACTGCAAATCTGACCACACTGCTTCCAGGCGCAAACATCTTCAGGGAGAGACTTGAATTAAAATTTAAAAACAATACTGTTTGTTTCTATTCCTCTCAGGATGAAGTCCAAACTGCTGGTTTGCAGAACCTTCCACGAATCAACAGGCCCCATCTTATCTTTGTTGCCTGTGCTCTCAGCCTCCTGCCTCTTACACTCTGCAGTTCCAATGGACTCTCTGCCTTCTCACCTGTGAGAACTCTGCCCACGCTCCTCCCATGTCTAATTAATCTGGGCCTCTGCTTAGACCTAACCCCCATCCGTGCTTCCACCACCCTGAGCCCATCTCCCTGTGACTGAGGGTCCAGGACAGGTCCTGGTTGTACAACTCATGGGTACCTCTAGCATGGAGCCTGGTACACTGTAGGTGCTCAACTGTCAAAAATGAATGAGTCAGCCCTGGCTGGTGTGGCTCAGACGGTTGGAGTGTCATTGGTACATGAAAGATCTTGGGTTCAATTCCCTGTCAGGGCACATACCCAGGTTTTGGGTTCCATCCCTGGTTAAGTTGCACGGAGGAGGCAACCGATCGATGGTTCACTCTCACATCAATGTTTCTCTCTCTTCCTCTCACAGGTTACAAATGTGTCCTATAAAACCAATAAAAAAGCAGGTGAGGATTAAAAAAAGAACCTCCTTCACTACATAAACTATCTTTTTCACATCCTTTTTTCATAGCACAGTGCTTAGGCATATTATTGGCTCAGTAAATATTTGACAAATATATAAATAGAGCCGATAGCTACTTGATTTTTTCCTAAATAGCCAAAATTATTCAAGGTAAATAAAATGAGTGATCCAGTTTCTTTATTTTGTAGGGCAAAAAGAACCAAACAATACTACACAGGTACACAAATAGTAGCACTTAAATAGTCAGCAAACTAGTTTCCCAAGCAATTTTTACACCCCTTTAAAAAAAAATATTCCTAGCCCAGCCGGCATGGCTCAGTGCTTGAGCGCCAACCTATGAACCAGGAGGTCATGGTTCTATTCCTGGTCAGGGCACAAGCCGGGTTGTGGCTAGATCCCCAGAAGGGGGCGTGCAGGAGGCAGCAGATGGATGATTCTCTCTCATCCGTGATGTTCCTCTCTCTTTCTCTCCCTCTCCCTTCCTCTCTGAAATCAATAAAAAAAAAAGTTTAAAAGTAAACAAGGAAATCCTAAATCCAGTTCAATTGTACATCCGATAAATCTCTAGGCCAGAGCTTGACGTCGCAGCCCCGCCTCCGTCACCACCAATGGGGACTCGGTGGACTCTACCCAGATACCATTCCCTGCACCGGCGCGACCTTTGGTCGTGTGTTCCAAGCTGCAATCCTCTCCTCCCTCCACCCTCCTCGCCAAGTCCCCCAATCTGCTCGGACCCGGGGCGCGGGAAAGGGTCCACAAGGGCCGCTGAGCCTCCCTGAGCCGGCAGCCCGGGACCCTCCGCCTTCCCTTCCCCGCAGGTTACCATAAGCGTTTCCATCCTGTCTCCCACATCCTGAGGTTGCAGCAGCGCCGGGCGTGACTTCTGAATCATGGAGGTCTGCGAGTGCACG